TCGATGGCTAGCTTTCGCTCAGAGATGTAGGACGCCGGGAAGGTGATGGTATTTGCCATGGCATGCTTTTCCCCTCGCCGCTGGCCGCCACCACCAGCTGTCTCCTCTGGTTAGTGGAGCCTGGCGTCATTAGTGTCACCGCATCAGATATAGTCATCCTTGGGTGTCTGCTCTTCCATTCATCAACTATGATCATCACAGATGAGGCCAGCGTCATCCATTGTGCCAGATTAGAATGGCTTTGGTCACAGCTGCTCTTTGTCCTCAGGGGCCACCATTTCTTATTGCTTTTCAGCACAGCAGATATGAAAGTGCCCTTTGATGTGGGGATACTTTTTGTGGTGGTGTGTGCGCTGCTATAAGCTGTATTTTATAGGAGCTGTGGAGCCTTCCAGTAACGCTTGGCATCAAATCAGGTTAATTTAATTTATATGGACATCCATGGAAAAGCAAGCAGGAAATGCAATTTGCTGCTTCTCAGTTGCTGGAATAAAGGCGACTGGTTTAGTGTACGACAACGAGAGATAAAGCGAAACTCTGAGGGGGGGGCCAGCTGTGATTCAGGACACAGAAGACTGTATATCTCTCAGAAAACTATGGAATACAAAATACCCAACACAGTACTTTGAAATGCAATGAAAATATACATTACTTTCATTCTTATAAAAGAAATATTTGCAAGGTTTGAATTGGCTGCTTTTCCTTTCAGCTCAACTAGTTTTTTTTATTGCAATTACACATTTTAAGTGCTGAAGTTAATTAGCCATGGGTAGCACTTAATGCCCTATTTAAATTTCCCTCAATGATAGTTTAGTATCGAACAAATATGGCTGCCTGTTAAAATGGGTAGTTTTCTCACCTCCTTTAATCTCTGTGTCAGATAACAAGTGCCTACATTAGTGGTTGCGATGGACTATTTTCTGTTAAGAAAAAAGCACCACATGACCTCAATTATGTTTTCATTTGTCTTGAGAGGTGTGTTGGCTGGGACTCTCAGAGTTAGAGGGATAAACGAGGGTGCTGCAGATAAGAGCAGACCTTCAGTCTTCCTATTACCAGCCCATGACCGGAAAGAGCTTATCACAGACACAAGCATATACTGCTGCCTCTGTATACACAAGCAGTCAGTACTGCACCATAGTAGTGTGGACAAAGCTGGTTTTCCTGTGTCTCTGCACATTTCACTGTCTGGGGATTAGCTGTTGGAACATTTAGCAGACTACACACATCTATGAATTTAATTCGGCTCCATGTTTTATTTTTACAGTGCTGTGGAAATGATTCTATTTGAGGCTGTAATTGTCACTGTCACGTACAAATGCAGGGCTGTTATTCACAATGCATTGTGGTTTAGTTCATATGAATAAATAGAAGTTCCATGGGTGGATCAATGTAAATAATAAAAGTACTCCTGACTATAAACCTGACAAACCTTGCACTATGAATGCTGACGATTAGAGTGGGCAATATGAAAAATATACAACATCACAACACTTGGAGACATTTTCATGATACACAATAAACAGCTGTATGTTACCACCAGAGGCTAAAGTTAGCATAGTGAGAAGGCTTAAACACCTGCTATTCTGGCTTACTGATCTTGCACTGAAACAAGTTTAGAGGACTAAAAGACTAAAGAGTAAAATTGAAGGAGTGAAATTGTGTTAAGATTTATGGAAACTGCTTTTTAGTAGTTTCTTAGTCAGTGTTTTAAAATAGGACTTATGTACAATATCCACAATATGTTCAGAAAAGCGTACTGTAACATAATTTATCACAATGATGATATTATATCATCGTATTGCCCACCCCTACTGAAGACACAAAAATAAATGAGAATTTACTGTCATAGGCTCAAATGAATCACGCAGCACTATGTGAATGAAAATGATTGGAAGTCCAGTCTGGATTATTAGGATGAGAGATAAGTGGTTTGGTCTGAAGCTCACTACGTGGACCTGGTTGTTTTCTTTTTGCTGTTTCGGGCTGTTCCAAAGAGGATTTTCTTGTTTATCTGTGTGCATTGTTTATGTTCTGTGCTTGCGACCCAAAGGTTAAGACGTGGTGTTTTATGCAACATGCAAGCATGAGGCTGTAGTGGTGTGCAGGTGCAGCGCTGCAGCAGTGATGTGCATGCGGAGCAGGATTACTGCAGATGAGCCCATGAGGTTCTCTTAGCAGGTGCTGTGTGTTGTGATTAGGGGTCACTTTGACAGAAGAGCATTGGCTAGGCTGAGTGGAAGACCCTCTCCGGTGTGACGCAGGGTCACAGCTGTCCTTTCAGCCAGAGGCTCAGTGTGTCCAAACCCAGTGTGTCCAAAGCCTGGTGGCACCGTGACAGTGAGAAATGGGCTCTTACAGGAAAGAATGGGATTTTTCCTCTGGAAAGAAGAGAGATTATTTTAGTCTTTTTCTTCCTCTAGAGGGAACAAAGAGAAGAAAAGGCAAGCTTTAATCTGCCATTCCCATTGCTTGGCAGAGAGGAGGGGAAAAAGTTCCTGCATAAGTGAGATGTTCACACGGGTGCATAAAATGTCCCCCAGTTTTGTAGATTTTATATTGTTGGATAATGCAACAGTGCTCAGTCCTGTGGATGCTAATGGTTTTTGCTGTGTCCATAGAAGACCTTCATCCTCTTTACCATAAAAGCTCGTAAATGGCTGTTGGCTTGGATGTACAGTTCTAGTAAAAAGCTTTAATCAGTATAGAACTTTTACATTATATGGAGGTTCTTAAACTTTAAAAAGGTTCTTCACACATCTCATTTATAAAAATGCTTCTTAAAAACTCCACTGAAAGGCTGGAAGTAGTTTTTTCCTTGGCATTGCTGCAAATAACCATTTTTGACATTTTATTTTTAAGAATGGACTGTATTATGTGGGTGCAACATATTTCGCCAGTTGTGGAACAGATAGTTCTGACTACACAAACGGATTGGTTGAGAACTGTTATATCCATTCCATGTAGGCCTATTTGTGATAACAGCACAGCCTTTTCACAATAACCGCATGATTCTTCTGATCCGGTTGGCAAATAACGATTCACTTTATGCTGCAATTAACCATTTGTTTCTACTTTAGCACATACAAAAACAGAAAATGGACTCATTGGATAACTTCTATAAGATGGTATTTGACCTGCAGTTCGTTTGGTCGGATTCTGAGTGTAACAGCAGGACTCCACAAAATTTTGAACCTGTTGTTGACCATAAGCAAGCTTTTTGGTCAGCAGCTATGACAGCAGAACAACTAAACAAACTGGAATTAGCTAGAAATTTACAGAATACAATTCAGAAAACAAGATGGGCTGTAAAATCATTTACAGACTGGTTGAAACTGGCTTAGCTGAACCTGATGCAACAGTTATACAGGTCTATCCCTAACAGAAGGAATTACTAATATTAAAGCATGTTTGATGCACTTTTGCAGAACTGTTGTATGAAAGCACTTAAACACTCGAGGTTGTGTGTTACTATGAATAATATCACGGCTGGAAAGATCTATGACCGAATCACATTTTCACAAATTGAGGAAATTTTGCTATTATTGGTTTAATATTGAAATTACAGTTGATAATTGCAACCCATAACTTGGTGCCCTGTTTGTGCTTATGCATGCACTGATGCCCGTGTAGTCACGAGTGGTGAGTGGTGGGTGTCCCAGACTCAGCTTTTGTTCAGTGAAATATATAGCATAGTGTATAACATCACAGCCCTGCACATGAATGATGAAGTGTTTGATTCCTCCTCAAGGCCGAAACACCATTGCAATACCAATGAGAGTCTCAAGGTGAGGCTCTTAGCATTACATTCATCTGCCATTGTCTGCTAAGTATTGAAATGTTTACATCATGCCTGATTTAGCTACAGTGTGTAAAATGAGTGAATAATCAATTATCTCTCTGTAGATTTTTAACCTTATTAGATTTTTAGCCTTATGCTCACTGCACTGCATGAGTGCATTATAGAGTTTTAAAATGCAGAAAAAGTAAAATTATTGACTACTGGTATTGATAGCAGCCACAACAAGGTTATCTGTTGTCATTATCAGCCCATTAATTCCATATCAGTCCTTCCCTTTTTATGCACAACCTCTTCAAGGGCAGCTCTGATCTCTTCTCTACTCTGCTGCAAGGACAAAGAGTGATAAACGTGGGGGATGGTGGGAGGCTGCTGAAGAAGAGTAGGTCATACGTCCAGCACTGGACCACTTGCTCTCAGCCTCAGCTCCTCCCTGTCTGCTTAATACTGCCTACCTCTCTCCCTCTGCAGCTGGAGGTGATGGCGAGGTGATGAAGAGCTTAGTGGGTCTGATTGGGCTGCAACTCCAATACTCTCTACGCTCACATGTCTGTGATGGGATTTCTCTAGACAGCAGTGGCCAGTAATCAGGGGATTGTGCTGGGCTGCCTTTGTCTTCTAGTTGGATGGAATGACTGACTGATATGAAGAGAATCCTCTTTCATCTCTGGCTCAAGCCGTGGCTTGGCTTCAAATAACAAACATTGCTTCTTACATTCAAGTTTTGTTTTTTGTCATTTGAACAGCGGTGACTGTGTCAGCAGCGACTGTGCTCGTGCAGAGTACATCTCCTGGTCACTGTCTCATCTCTGGCCCACTTCCTTTCACCTAGATTGCTTGGGGAATTGATATGACCCGAAGGGGCTGGACTTATAACTAAGAGTGAGAAAAATGTGAATCATCTGCGGACTGCAGGGCTACAGCCTCTCTCTGTATTACTGAGGGTCGGGGTGGGTAGAAGAGCACTGAACTGTGCATTGGACCTTAAAGCTGTATAGCAGTGCTGCATCACCTCCTTCAGCCTCTGACATTAACTCACTCCTGACAACATAAATACAGCCTGCGCGGATTGCTGGAGTTAAACTATGAATCTCCACCATCTGATGTGCCCTTCTGTTCAAGCGTGTGCATGCACCCTGAGCGATACATGGATTAAAAATGGAGAAAATGCCTGAAGTCCACGTATGACAAAGCATGACACTGTTCATGACCCACTTTATAGTGATGTGGAATTGTTGTTGGAGCTTAGCAATATGGGCAGGTCAGTGTTTCTATCTTATCTTCTAAATGTCATTGTTTCAAATAATGCAGTACTGTGGAAAAAGTCATAGACCACCAGTCAAAATGGCCATTAAGTACACATTATTGGTTTTCATGAGATGTTTATGAGGAAATTAGATATAAGATAATGCACTTGCATAAGAAAGTGGAAATCCAAAGGATGAAGGCCCGGAAGACCACCAAAACTGCACCCATTAGATAAACAGTACTTAAATCTTTCATCTTTGAGAGAGAGGAGAAAATCTAATTCTGCTCTTGATATTAAATAATCCAAAGGTGCATCCATCCACTGTGAGAAGACAACTCAGTGCTATGGGTCTGACATGATGTGTAGTTGTTAAGGAGCCATTACTGAGAAAAGAAAATAGACATCAAATCAAATAAAGAAGCTGCTGGTGTTCTCAGATCAATGGACTGACCACCCCAGAGTCCAGACCTCTTCAACAACACTGAATGTGGGGATTACTTGGATTGTGAGGAGCAGAAAATGCAACCAACTTCTGAGGCTGAACTTTGGAGGTGTGAAAAAAATATTCCTGCGTATTTTTATTTTTTTGAAAAACTGAAAACAAATCGCCAGAAAAATAATGGAAGCTGTAATAAAGACAAAGGGAGGAAATGAAATTAACGAACGTTTTATTCATCTTTTGCATAGTTCTATATATTCACCAAAATGTGTGTGTAAATAAACCTTTTGTTGTTATTACATGCCATGGTTCCTTTGCTGTAAATACAACAATTCAAAATAGCCTACTGTGCATGAGCAGAGCTGATTCTGTGTTCACCAATAAGAGGAATAGATCAGTGCGCTCAGACTGATATACACATGTACCTGCCACAGATCTGACACTTTTCAGTGGAAAATTAACAGGTTGCTTAGCAACAATGCACAAGCATGTCCTTGGATTCTTTTAATCTTAATTGGGGTGTGACTTTGACTGGGCATTTTTGTGTTGGGGGGAGGGTGCAAACTCATGTCAAGACATGTGTTCCCTGGAAGTGCTAGCAAGAAGCCAGAAGTTTAGAGAATAAATAATGAAACTGGGGACAGTGCCTTTCCCTGCTCAATCTACCTCAAACGATTTGCATAGGCACACTCCTTCAGTTTTTCTTCGAGCGTGACGGAGCGGCAGCACCTGAATGCTACAGAGTCTATTGTTTCTCAGTGCAATGGAGTTCCTTCTCCAGAGGGAAAGGAGCCTAGCATGAAAACTGGAGGTGCAGACCTAACTGCCTCTGTAATTTTACTGACATTTGGAAAAATTACTCACTAGCGAGGCATGCCACAGAAAGAAACCCTGTTTAGACTCCAATTTTTTTTTGCTGGATTTCCACAAAATAATTACTTTGGGATGGGGGCCGTGTCTGTAAAAACAAATGTCTGTCAGTGGCTTCGCAGTCTAAATGAAAACATATTTGATTTCATGTGTGCCATGGACCATTTTGCTGGGGAATGTTGGGTCACTCCAGATTGTGTTGACACATTGTTTTATTTGAACACTGGTGGCCTCTTAATAGAGAAAATGATTTTATGCTATATTTCTGTTGTGATTCCTCTCAGTTAAGTGCAGCATGCATAATGATACTATGATACTATTATACTATTATTTGCGTGTACACACAGAAAGCATCCAGTGTTCAGACTGAGTTTTCTCCTGTCACTGTGGTGTTTCCCCATTAATGTTTTAGCAACCACCTCCCGAGGGTGTCAAAAATAAGTGTAACATTATCCCTCCCCCATCACAGTGACACTGAGGCAGCATGTGAAATCTACAGCCTGAGAGCTACAGAGTAGCACACATTCTCACACTCTGTCTTTCCATCCAGCTCTCTATCTGTCTCTCTATCTCTCTTGCTATCAATCTATCTCTCTCTGTCTCTCACACGCACACACATTCCTGTTCCACATTTAGCAGATACACACTCCAGGCATCAGGCAAATAAGAGCGTGCTGTATAATATCAGTGCAAAAGCTGTCTCCATTCATTCTGAAGGTAATGCATGCAGAACAGTACAGTGATATCCAAAGGAAATAATGGTTTAAATTCTAATGACTTTTGCAGAAGGCGGATATTTCTTTGGTAACACTTAGCCGCACAGGGTAAAATCTATAATCCTCTTTATTGGATGGAGACTCAGCATATTCCCATGGGAATATACCGATTCTGTATACTAATGTAGTTCTTTGGGGAGTGAGGGGAGACAGGGGTGGCGTTCCTTTGTTCAGCCTGTATAAATTTTTCTCCATTCTTATAATATGTGTTGTATTGAGACTAAAGGCTCCAAAGCCAAATCTGTTGTTCAGGATATATTTATACCACTTTATATTACTGATTGTTTTTATAGCTGTGCTATTAAATGTAAGTTGTGCTATGTTGTTTAACCTCTTTCTGCAGGCACCCTAGTGAAATTATTTTCCCCTATAACACTGCTTTGAGGTTAACCCCTTAAAATCCTAGGCTTATTACATACTAGGTCTTATTATTCAATAACTACAGAGACTTTAATGGCAAGTGGCTGAGCTATTCTTAGGTTATAGAAGTGTATAATAAAACTTTTAAGGCCATTTAAGGAGTTAAGCTGGCTATCTGTGTGTGAAATGTTGTGACTCTGCATGGAGCTGCTAGTGAGCAATGAGGGGCGAAAAGGGAAGAAGAACCCCTTGTTGTGAAAACAGTTCTTATCTCTTTACAGATGGTCTTGCTGCGATAAAATAAACAGCTATAAACTGGAGCTGTCTTCACATCAGAAATTGCATACATAATACTACCGCAATAAAGAAAAACTAGCACTTTCATAAATGCTGATGGCCCCCCAGAAGGTCCACATTTTTGCTAGACTTCAACTCCCAACACATAGAGATAAAGCCCTGAGTACTGTTTTAAGAACCACTATCTTATGGCTTATTATTCAGTAATTACACTGCAACCTGGGTTATTCTGAAGTTATAGGACAAAGGAATGGAAAACTGGAGCAACTGATGGCATTTAAGGGGCTGATTTTCTGCAAGTTTGGCATGAGACAACAACAGGCAATGGCCTTTGAAAAGCCTGTGCATAAACAGGAATGGCTAGTTAGCCTTGATTTCCAGATGATATTTCCTGAAGTTTCAATCCCCGGTTTCAAATATACATCAATCATTTTCTTCTTGTAAATCAAATGACCACAGGTATGTGGCAATGTGGTGAAAATGTTCTCATGGGTGCATAAGTTAGATCTAGTACTTGAGAGTCATATGACCACTTTCTTCAGTTGAATGGTGCACACAGCCAAACTCATTCCCCTCAATTCCACAGTGATTCCACAGACATTAGGCATTATGGTAGAAATCATAACTGCTGGCACTGAGGCTTCTTTTCATGGTAAAACTTGGTGACACTCATGTCAAATTTGTCAGTTTATGAAGATCTTGCAATACCTTAAACTAGCTCATTGAATTCCAGATGAGGCCTAGTAGCCCTCTTGTCTGATTTCTGATTGCTGTCATGTTTTGAGTAACCAGTATTTAAACTGCCTATAGCCAGGACATCTGAATTCTTTATCAAGGTCTGTTTCGGCTGTATGGAGAATAGCAGAAGTTCAAAAGGGTATTGCAATGCATATGAAGATAAAAGGAGTCAGCTGCCACGTATTTTGAAGGCCACTTATGTGCTAGAAGATGTAAACGCACTGCTAAGCTTTTGATACAGTCTGTGGTCTATTTATTCATGGTTTAATACAGAGAACACAAAAATCAATCGCACCTCTTGTGCAAAATGGAGAAATGAGAAGTAACCGTGCATATGCTACTCAGATCGCATTTCCCGAATTGATTCAAGATACGTTTGTACGTTGAACAGCATGCGTGATTAAATTTGAATTAGAACCTATACATTACTGCTGACAGCATACGATGCCCAGTATTTTCAGACTTCCTCTTCTGCTGATTATACCGTGAGGACTTCTTCGGGCACCCTGAGGAGCTCCATCTGTTTTTTGTTTTGAAGTTAATGGTGGATGGAAACATTTGAATGCTTGGGTAATGCGGTAAATTTCTGAGTGCTTACCTTGTGTTTGGATGTTTGGACTTGTCTGGAAATGGTGATGAACGCCCCTGCACTCAGCAGGCTCCCAGCCATCCAAGATTACTCAAGTAATGACCAGTGGAAGTGGTGGCAGTTTCCCTTAATTTCCTTGCGACAGAGTGAAAGAGAACTCCAAGTTCTCTGCTTTTGCCTTTTCTTCGAAGAAAAAGGGTATTTGAGGCTATATGTGCTTTTGAGGTCCAAATGTGGTTTGCATAGCAGGGTTCCTAGGGTTCCTCAGAGCTTTTAGCATAATCCCCTTTCAAACTGCCTTTTGCTGTGTTGATTGAGATGTACAACCTGATACACATGGTCTCAATAGCTCTGCGAATACTTCCATAGCTGGACTCAAAGAACCTTGACGGGAAGTTAAGTATAGCATAACATTTCCTGAGAGCGATTACTGCACTTCCACATTCTACTGCCCAGCAAAATTACTGGCTAATATTCAGTCTATGCTGTCCACTTGGTTGATATTCATGTTATGAGATCACTTTCATACTTTACAAGACTATATGTTCTCTAAAGCGCATTAGAAGGAAAGGCTATCTGAGACTAGAGCAGTACAACAATCTGTTGTTTACCCTGCATGTATAATTAAGGAATGATTGATATGAGGGTTTGGTGAAAAATTGATTGTGTCAGTGGGATAAGTGCTGGTGTGTGATGTTAACTAGTATGAGAGCAGCGAGGTGCATATCCCTGCCTGCCTGTGGGTGATTGATCATGACTAAAGCACCAGCCCCACCTCTCGGCTCCCAGAGAGGCTCTAGTTGGTCCAGCTATAGAAGCTGCTCATTAGGAGGGGCCTTCTCTCTCCATGGACATTATGATGAATGAAAAGGAATAGAGGAAGGGACCCTGTCTGGGCTCCAAGCTGATGGCTCTTTATCTGTGAGCATTCCTCTACGTCTTG